ATCACCCCCCAGAGGGGATGGCCACACCACAATCCCTTCTCCTCCATTCTCCTCTCAGGATCTTGGGCACGCACGCACGCACACGCGCCCGGCATGAGTTTTAAGCCACCGGGTCCGGGACATGAACCACGGTCGACTACATGGGAATCCAGCAACATAGCCATTACGCTAACTGCTGGTTCCTTTTTTTTTTTAAGAGAGATTTTTGCTATAAGACATGTACATTCATCAGAGATACAAGGAGGCCAAAGAGAGGGAAAGTGAGAAATCACACCCCCCCGGGGAGGGGGGGGCGAGGATGGCCATGCTGCAATTCCTTCTCCATTCTCCTCTCAGGATTTTGGACACACATGCACATGCACCTGGTGTGAGTTTCAAGCTGTTGGATCCAGGACTTGAACTGCAATCAGCCATGTGGGAGTCTAACTCCTTATCTACTATGCCACCTGCAAGACCCCAAACCATACGTTTGTCATAATCTAGGTGTCTGCAGACTTTTCAAGAAGAAAAGGAAATTTGTTTCAGAGGTCCTAAATTTCTAAGAACTCACTTGCAAACTTCTGTTACTTTGATTTTGATAAAGAGAATGGATATTGTCTCCTATATAAGGGCAGGGATTACACTTTATAAAGAATCTCTCCTGCTCCAAGAAATGAAGTCACTACTCTTCCCATTCATTCCTGACTTTTGGCATATGGATATAACAAGAAATGAGAAAAAAAAATTTTTTTAGCCCTACCAAGGATTTTATCAACCTGAAATCATTTCTTATCCAGACCCCTTTTCTCTCTTTGATTTGCTATCCCTTTATACATCCTCTATTCTCTTTAAGCATGAGCTGCCCAGTAGTTCATTATTTCACTAAAACAGAATTAATATGCTGAAATGCTTGTTTTAAGCTATAAACATAATAGGAGGAATGTACGCGCTACTGGCTGTAACGCAGGTTTTTTAATGCCTGAAATTTATATTAGACACATGCTGTTGCTATGTTTAAATGGACAGAAACCAAACTTTAGAAACCTGCAATTAATTCCAACGAGGGCATCTCTTTGTCAATCTAAAGAAGAAAACTTTGAAAGACATCTATTTCCTTGCTACTCTCTAAAAATGATGGGCCACAGCCATATTTTCTGAACCGTTGGATGTACCGTGAACTTTCCTAGTTGATCTCTAAGCCCTCACCTCAGACACAAAATCAGGCACATATATAGATAACTTCACTCTTCATGCTTCAGAAAGGAGAGAGAAGCTGTTCTCAGTGGGGCCTCCTGCCTGTTAACCAATCTGGTTAGCTTCATTACCCACAAAGATGTCATCCCTTTCCTGACAGGAAAGCAACATAGCCATATGGGGAATGACAAATGAAAGAATTAGTGACCAGGAATGTCTCTGTATACATAGTGAGTTTTTTTCCTATGCTGGATGGCTAATACATGTCAAATACAGTGTCATGTCTCTAAAGAATACGTTCTTTAACGCTTCTTCTCTGGTAAAGGATGGTATACAGCAGAAAAAGAATCTTCAGGTTGATTGAAAAGATGATCACTCCAATATTCACCACTAACCACTGTTGTTGGAGTGAGGACCTGATTTATGGTTTCATGCTCATTTATTTAAAACACAGTGGTCTTCTGGGTTTATTTTGGGGCCTTGGATGATTTGAGAGTCCTGAACCTTGCAGAGACCTGCTCGATGTCATTGGACATCTCACAGTGAAGACTGCCAATGTGATGCCCATGTCCAGTTTAAACTATGTACCTTTTGGTCATATTCTCTCTCTGTTGTGCAGTTTTATTTGTCATGGTTTTCTTTACAGTTCTGCCTCAGTGTTTAAGTTATGGTTAATAGGTGTTGTCATATTAAAACTAAAAGAAATATGCCTATTTCTGCTCTTTGCTTTAGTTATAGCATCATGGGTGGAAACGCTCAGTTCACCATCAACCCATCCACAGGACAAATCATCACCAGCGCATTGCTAGACAGGGAAACGAAAGACAATTACACGTTAGTCGTGGTCTCCAGTGACGCTGGATCCCCGGAGCCTCTTTCCAGTTCCACCAGCGTGCTCATCACTGTGACCGATGTCAATGACAATCCCCCGAGATTTCAGCATCACCCATATGTCACGCACATCCCATCTCCTACTCTTGCAGGTAATCAAACTGACTCTGAGGCCACCCGGGTAGGTGCAGACTGTATATCGGACATTTCCTTTAAATACAACTATCCTGTTTTTAGATATATCCTTCTGATGTAGCTTAATTTTGCAAATCCTCTAAAAATTACAAGCTGTTTTGCCTAATGAAATTGAAAAAAAAAATTGTTAGATCTCATAAACTAACTTTCTTCCCAGACCAGTTGTGTATAGGATTATAATAACTGTCATAGCTTTCCTATTTCCAATTCTTAGTGTTACTTGAACATTGTAAATGATTAAAATAGGTGTCACTTAATAATGAAGGACAGTCTGTCCTAAGGTACCATTCATGTGTAAATTTCTTTTATTTTTTAGAGAGGTTTTTGCTATAGGATGCGTGTGCTTACCATACAGAGAGAGACAGAAAGCAAGAAATCACCCCCTGGAGGATGGCCACCCCACAATCTCTCCTCCATTCTCCTCTCAGGATCTTGGGGGATCTTGGGCATGCACACACACGCATGCAGTGTGAGTTTTAAGCCACTGGGTCCAGGACTCGAACCATGGTTGACTACATGGGAGTCCAGCAACATAGCCATTACGCTAACTGCTGGTCCTCACATGTAAGTTCCTTGAAAAGAGATTTTGTCTCTGTTTTTCATACTGTATCCCAGCACTAAAACATTACTTGGGAGGTAATAGGCACTTTTTGGAAGAAATATATTTTTGGAAGAAAATGAATATTTTACTTCAATTTATTATACAAAGATCTTTTTGAAATGTTTAATAAGTGAATAATTCTAATTACTATTTATCTTTATTCCTGTTTTGGTGAATGAAAGTTTTTGTATTAGTAACTTTGTGGAGCTTTTCATGAATCACTTTCATACTTACAATGTATTTTTATCTTTCTGCATCTCTTTGAAATTTAGTTTTATAGAATTTGCTGATTTGCAAAGTATCATATACTCTCTTAAGGACTGCACAAATCTTTTGCCACTTGTAATATTTTAGATGACTTTCCAAACAGACGAAGACACAAATATAGCTCATAATTAGTCTTTCTCACTTAAAAACATTTTAAATCAGAAGAAAGAAAAGTAAATGGATCCAGTATTCCTCTTCTCGGTGATCATTTGATCTTCTATTAACTGTCAATGTCTAACTGACATTAATTTAAAGTATAAAATCTATACGTGTGCCACCTCGCTATCAAAAGGAAATGCCAATATCAAATTCATAAATCCCTGATGAAGGGCTTTAGCTGAACCGATGCTGGTAGGCTCAGCTCCCATTCCATCCAGTGTGTGTGCTGCAATAGTGTCTCCTATATAAAATGAGATATGCTTAAGCATTTTTTCCTCTTTAGACTTAATATAGTAATCACAATCACTGGTCTTTTTTCTGGTTTTGTCAGCAACTCGTCTATAAGGATAGGAGTTTCTTTTTTTTTTTTTTGGAGAGATTTTCACTGTAGGGCGCGTGCGCTCGCCAGACAGAGAGAGACATAGAGACAGAAGGCGAGAAATCACCCCCCAGGGGGGTGGTCACGCCGCAATCCCTTCTCCTCCATTCTCCTCTCGGGATCTTGGGCACGCACGCACACGCGCCCAGCGTGAGTTTTAAGCCACCGGGTCCGGGACGTGAACCGCGGTCGACTACGTGGGAGTCCAGCGACATAGCCATTATGCTAACTGCTGGTTCCCGGAGTTTCTTAATAAGTATATCGGAATTATGTTCTGGCCAGCATAGTAGCAAGTACGGATGGACACTGAGAGTTGACAGACTGAGCCCACAATGGAGGCCCTGAATTGAATCTTGGCCCACCCTAAAAGCTAGGTGCAGTGGCACATGGCTGTCCACTAACTACTGGGAGGCTGAGGCAGGAAGATCATGGCATAATGATACCCTGTCTAGAAAAAAGAACGAACAAATGTTAGGGTGTTTTTTGCTGCATATTTCCACGACAATCTGTTCCATTGGCACCCATTCCAAGCATTGACTTTTAGAACCAATTTGAGTGTGCTTTTTTTCTCAGTTCTTATTTCTTAGTACTTCATAACTATTTTAATTGATTTATGCATCTATTCATACACACACACCTACACACATACTATATGTGATGATAGCTCACAAGTAAAAGGAATTTTGCCATGAAACAGTGGGTATAAAGAGTCAAACAGTGATTTAAAAAAAAACACATCATTTTAGTGAATGTGATTCCAAGTATAGTAATTCAAAGAAATATTTTACAGACATAATACAGATCTTTTGTCATTGAGTGGAAGCATAGCCTTTTGCAAAGCTCATGGATTATCATGTTTGTTGGAATGTTATGTGCAGATTTTTCTCCTAGGAACTATGATTCTGAATGATTAGCCAGTTCTCCTCCTAGTATGCCTCATTTCTCTCAAAGGCATTCTCAAAACTATTAAATCCAGCAGACTGAATGGGTTTGTGTTAGAAAATAGCAGGTCAACTCCATAGACTATCATTAAGCAGATTTGATTGGTAACTTCAGAGAAAATGTAGAAAATACTGTCCTCCCCAGTAATCAGGAGAAAAGAAAGTCATATCAAGCAGCAACCTAGTGGTTTATATGCATTGACCTACTGCTAAGTGTTTTATTTGGATTCCACATGATTATAACTGCTTGTTCTCTCTTTCACAGGTTCCTTTGTCTTCGCAGTTACAGTCACAGATGCTGACATCGGACCCAATTCTGAACTGCATTATTCTCTTTCGGGTAGACACTCTGAAAAATTTCACATTGACCCACTGAGGGGAGCTATCATGGCAGCTGAACCACTCAACGGAGCTTCGGAAGTGACGTTTTCTGTCCACGTAAAAGATGGTGGCTCGTTCCCAAAGACTGATTCCACCACGGTGACAGTTAGATTTGTGAACAAAGCCGATTTCCCCAAAGTGAGAGCCAAAGAGCAAACATTCATGTTCCCTGAAAACCAACCAGTAGGCACTCTTGTCACTACCGTTATAGGGTCCTCCTTGAGAGGAGACCCTTTGTCCTATTACATCGCAAGTGGGAATCTTGGTAGTACTTTCCAAATCGATCAGTTAACGGGGAAGATATCCATTAGTCAACCTCTGGATTTTGAAAAGATACAGAAATATGTTGTATGGATAGAGGCCAGAGATGGTGGGTTCCCTCCTTTCTCTTCTTATGAGAAACTTGACATAACGGTATTAGATGTCAATGATAACTCCCCGATTTTTAAGGAAGATCCATTTATCTCTGAAATATTAGAAAACCTTTCTCCTCGAAAAATCCTGACTGTTTCAGCCATGGACAAGGACAGTGGACCCAATGGACAGTTAGATTATGAAATTATTCATGGCAATAAAGAAAATAGTTTCAGCATCAATCATGCTACTGGTGAAATTCGAAGCATTCGACCTTTAGACAGGGAAAAAGTATCTCATTATGTGCTTACTGTCAGATCTTCTGACAAAGGGTCTCCTTCTCAGAGCACCTCAGTAAAAGTCATCATTAACATTTTAGATGAAAATGATAATGCCCCTAGGTTTTCTCAAATATTTAGTGCCCATGTTCCTGAAAATTTCCCCTTAGGATACACGGTTACACGTGTCACAACTTCTGATGAAGACATTGGTGTGAATGCCATTAGTAGATATTCTATAATGGACACAAGTCTTCCATTTACAATTAATCCCAGCACAGGTGATATCATCATTAGTCGACCGTTAGACAGGGAAGATACGGACCGTTATAGAATCCGAGTGTCTGCGCATGATTCTGGGTGGACTGTAAGTACAGATGTCACAATATTTGTGACAGATGTCAATGACAATGCTCCAAGATTTAGCAGACCCTCCTATTATTTAGATTGCCCTGAACTTACTGAGATTGGCTCCAAAGTGACTCAGGTATCTGCCACAGATCCCGATGAGGGTTCAAATGGACAAGTATTTTATTTTATAAAATCCCAGTCTGAGTATTTCAGAATCAATGCCACCACTGGGGAGATTTTCAATAAGCAGGTCTTAAGATACCAAAACGTCAGTGGGTTCAGTAATGTGAACATCAACAGGCACAGTTTTGTAGTGACCTCTTCAGATCGAGGCAATCCTTCCTTACTTAGTGAGACCACAGTTACCATCAACACAGTGGACAGTAATGACAACGCACCTCAATTCTCTCAAGTCAAATACTTCACTCCTGTCACCAAAAATGTTAAGGTTGGCACGAAGTTAATCAAAGTTACCGCCATAGATGATAAAGATTTTGGACTGAATTCTGAAGTGGAATATTTCCTCTCTAGTGAAGATCATTTGGGCAAATTTAAATTAGACAATGCGACCGGTTGGATTTCGGTAGCATCTTCCCTGATTTCGGACTTGAATCAAAACTTTTTGATCATAGTCACTGCAAAGGATAAAGGGAACCCTCCACTTTCTTCCCAAGCCACTGTGCAAATAACAGTCACTGAGGAAAACTACCACACACCGGAATTCTCTCAAAGCCACATGAGCGCTACTATCCCTGAGAGCCATAGCATTGGGGCCATCGTCAGAACGGTTTCTGCAAGAGACAGAGATGCAGCTATGAATGGCTTGATTAGGTACAGCATTTCTTCAGGCAACGAAGATGGCATTTTTGCAATCAACTCCTCCACGGGGGTATTGACACTAGCCAAAGCCCTCGATTACGAGCTGTGCCAGAAGCATGAAATGATCATTAGCGCTACTGATGGAGGCTGGGTTGCAAGAACCGGGTACTGCAGTGTGACCATAAATGTGATTGACGTGAATGACAATTCTCCAGTATTCCTCCCTGACGAATATTTCCCTACGGTTTTGGAAAATGCTCCTAGTGGGACAACCGTTATCAACCTCAACGCCACCGATGCCGACTCCGGGACAAATGCCGTGATTGCATATACGGTCCAGTCATCTGACAGTGACCTCTTCGTCATTGACCCTAACACAGGAGTGATAACCACTCAAGGCTTCTTGGATTTCGAAACCAAGCAGAGCTACCATCTTACTGTGAAAGCCTTCAATGTCCCTGATGAAGAAAGATGTAGCTTTGCCACCATTAATATACAGTTAAAAGGGACAAACGAATATGTGCCTCGTTTTGTGTCCAAGCTTTACTACTTTGAAATCTCAGAAGCAGCCCCCAAAGGCACTGTTGTCGGGGAAGTGTTTGCCAGTGACCGTGACTTGGGCACTGATGGCGAGGTGCACTATTTGATTTTTGGTAGCAGTCGAAAGAAGGGTTTCCAGATCAATAAGAAGACTGGACAGATTTACGTGTCTGGACTTCTTGATAGAGAAAAAGAGGAAAGGGTGTCTCTGAAGGTATTGGCCAAGAATTCGGGCAGCATCCGAGGTGCGGATATAGATGAAGTCACTGTCAATGTCACCGTGCTGGATGCCAACGACCCCCCTGTTTTCAGTCTCAGCATCTACAGCGTTCAGATCAGCGAAGGGGTCCCGGTAGGAACTCACGTGACCTTTGTCAGTGCCTTCGACTCAGACTCCGTCCCCAGCTGGAGCAGGTTCTCTTACTTCATCGGGTCAGGAAATGAAAACGGTGCCTTTTCCATTAACCCGCAGACAGGACAGATCACCGTGACTGCAGAATTAGATCGCGAAACCCTCCCCATCTACAATCTCACGGTTTTGGCTGTTGATTCTGGCACCCCCTCAGCTACAGGAAGTGCCTCCTTATTAGTCACCCTGGAAGATATAAACGATAACGGGCCCGTGTTGACCATCAGTGAAGGAGAAGTGATGGAAAACAAGCGCCCCGGAACTCTGGTGATGACCCTTCAGTCCACGGATCCTGATCTCCCCCCGAATCAAGGCCCCTTTACGTATTACCTGCTCAGCACCGGTCCTGCCACCAATTATTTCAGTCTGAACACGGCTGGAGTCCTGAGCACCACCAGAGAGATCGACAGGGAGCAGATTGCAGACTTCTACCTGTCCGTGGTCACTAGGGATTCCGGTGTCCCCCAGATGTCTTCTACAGGAACCGTGCACATCAGAGTCATAGACCAAAATGACAATCCTTCCCAGTCTCGCACGGTGGAGATATTTGTTAATTATTACGGAAACTTGTTTCCGGGTGGGATTCTAGGCTCTGTGAAGCCACAGGACCCGGATGTACTAGACAGCTTCCATTGCTCCCTTACTTCGGGGGTTACAAGCCTCTTCAGCATCCCAGCGGGCACCTGCGACCTGCAGGCCCAGCCCAGGTCCACAGATGGTACGTTTGACCTGACCGTCCTCAGCAGCGACGGGGTCCACAGCACGGTCACCAGCAGCATCCGGGTTTTCTTTGCTGGATTTTCCAATGCGACAGTGGATAGCAGCATCGTCCTGCGCCTCGGTGTCCCCACAGTGAAGGACTTCTTGACCAACCACTACCTTCACTTCCTGCGCATTGCCAGCTCACAGCTGACCGGTCTGGGCACGGCGGTGCAGCTCTACGGCGCCTACGAAGAGAACAATCGGACTTTTCTGCTGGCGGCTGTGAAGCGAAGCAATAATCAGTACGTGAATCCCAGTGGGGTGGCCACCTTCTTTGAAAGCATCAAAGAGATCCTCCTCCGGCAGAGCGGAGTGAGGGTGGAATCTGTGGATCACGACGCCTGTGCTCGCGGCCCGTGTCAGAACGGAGGCAGCTGCGTCCGGCGCCTGGCGGTGAGCTCCGCAGTCAGGAGCCAGGAGAGCCTGCCCGTCATCCTGGTGGCCAACGAGCCCCTGCAGCCTTTTTTCTGCAAGTGTCTGCCGGGCTATGCCGGGAGCTGGTGTGAGGTCGATATAGACGAGTGCCTGCCTTCCCCCTGCCACAATGGTGGCACCTGTCACAACCTAGTGGGAGGCTTTTCGTGCAGCTGCCCAGAGGGCTTCACTGGGCGGGCCTGTGAGAGGGACATCAACGAGTGTCTGCCCAGCCCTTGCAAGAACGGTGCCGTCTGCCAGAATTTCCCAGGGAGCTTCAACTGTGTTTGCAAAACTGGATACACAGGTAGGACCATGTCTTACCATCTCTTAAGACCTTAACCGTGTAGCCCTGTCAAGCATAATCCAAAGTAGCCCATGTTGTCATTTTTTAATGATTTTCCATGAAAAATGAACAGACTTGTAATAAATAAGTTTAAGCATTTCCTATTGGTCAGACACTATAATCAGTGCTTTATATGTATTTTATATATTTACTTCTCAAAAAAAATTTATAAGGTAGGGATTTTATTTAGTTTCTTTTTAATGACCAGGAATTTGAAATAGAGTTTTATTTTATAAAATGAGCCAATGAATTTGTGGAAGTGTGCACAGTGCACACTTTTTTGAAATTTTGCTACAGGGTGTGTGTACTTGACAGAGAGAGACAGAGAGAGAGAGACAGAGAGGGAGAGCTGGAGAGAGAGAAGAGAGAACATAAATCCCCTCCTCCAAGCACCTCCCAAGCACCCCCAGGAGGATGGCCATCCCATAATCCTTTCTCCATTTGTCCCCTCAGGATTTTGGGCACACACACACACCTGTGATTTTCAAGCCACTGGGTTAAGAACTCGAAACACGCAATCAGCCATGTGGGATCCCATCTCTTTAACTGCCCTGCTCCTGATTAGCCCTTTAAAAAAATTATTTTTTTCTTATTTCTATCATGAAAGAAAGACAGAAAGAGAGGAAAACAGACACCATCAACAGCACCTTATCGTATGCAATCCTTCCAGCCTCCACAGCCTTCCAGCCCACAGGCTTCGGGGCTCAGGAGCTTAGAGGCATGCAAGCCTGCACATCCAGCCGGTTTTAAGTCTGCCCAGGATCTTCAGCTGGGCCTGCACAGTTTTTAGAACTTACATATTACATCGTGTTGCTCAGGAGCATATATAAATACAAGTTGGACTACTAATAAAAAAGGTTGAACCAGAATAGATTGTACATTGTTATAAATTGTGTGGATTGCAGACTAATCACTTTAAAAAGGTTTCTTTCTTGTTTTGTTTTGTTAGGTTTAGGCCTTAGGGCACATTCACTCAGTGAAGAGAGAGAGAGACAGAATCAGAGACAGTGAGAGGGAAAGTGAGAAATCACCCTCCCATTGGGGATGGCCATGCCACAATCCCTTCTCCATTCTCCTCCTTGGATCTTGGACACACATGTTCATGTGCCTGGTGTGACTTTCAAGTCACCAGTCTGGTCAGTCATGAAGGAGTCCAGTGATGTAACCACCAGGTCATTTGCTAGCCCCAGTTTTTAAAAGGTTATTAAGTAAATGCATTGGATATCATATTTTGAAAAGTGTCCATCATGTGTATACTTATGACTACTTGTTTAATAATTGAATTTCTTTATAATTCCATTAAATATTTGAAAAACATGAAGCAGAACATAAAAAATAGTGGGACCAGCAGATGGCATAATGGTTACATGGCTGGACTCCCAAAAAGTCGACCTCAATTTGAGTCCCAGACCCAGTGGTTTAAACCTCAGGCTGGGCGTGTGTGTGTACATACTCAAAATGCAAAGAAGGAATGGAGGAGAATGGACTGCAGCTTGTCCATCCCTCTGGGGGTTGATTTCTCGCTTCTGTCTCTGTCTTTCTCTGCCTTTCTGACGACTGCACGCACCTTATACCGAAAATGGATCTAGAACAAAGGACATAAAAAATAATGTCTTCGAAATATAAATGAATGTAAGGGGCAGCAAGTAAGTATAATGGAAAGCACAAACGATTGGCGAGAATCTGTTCTAGCTAAAGCTTTTGGAAAGTCACCTAACCTTGTTGACACTCAATTTTCCCATATGTAAAATGGGAATAATCATGATTATTTATCTTTTAAGGTTGATGGAGTAATTTTTCCAAAAGAATACCTTATTTAATTATTGTTATTATTTTAATGTTGTTATAGTCACCAGAGAGAAACAAAGAAAGAAAGAGAGATAGAGAGAGAGAGAAAACAAGAGATAGAAGGTGAGAAAGCAAACTACCAGATCTGGGACTTGAACTGCAATCAGCCAGGTGGGAGTCCAGTGCCTTAATCACCATGCTACCTGCTGGCCCCAGTTGATGTACAATAGTAATTAAAGACAGTGTTTGTAAGATATCCACACAGTGTCTAGCACCAGAGGTGCAGCAATGCAAAATGGTAGGTTAGTGGTCCTGTGAGCACAGTGGTGTTAACAGAGGAGAGAGTCGCACAGCTCCAGGAAGACACCAAGCATCAGTAGCGCAAGGTAGGCAGAAGCCATACCAAGGTCGTATGTAGGACCATTAAGAACAGGGCTGTATAAATAAGTTCAGAATTTCTAGAAAATGGTCCTCTCTTTCCCACCCAGTCAAAACATCACTTCCCCAGCAGGGAATTAAACAGGCGGGATTATTCTTTATCCTCCTGGAACGTAATGCACTGATACACACTTCAGTTTAGGGGGAGTTTACATTTAGTCCTCAAATGCAGAGAGTGCAAACCCATGTGGTGTCCACGGGGAGCAGGCGACAGCACTGGAGTGTGTGAAGGCACTGCAGGCCAAGCTCAGCATCAGCGTCACTTTGGGAATGGGCCCAGCCTTCCCTCAGATTCACTCCTTTCTCTATTTTATTTTATTTAAACGTGCATTGCATACTTTTGTACATTGATTGTTGGAACTTTTAGAAATACTTTTTGTCATCATTCTTTTCTCTTTTTTTGTGAGAGTTTTGTTTTGTTTTTGTTTTTGTTTTGTTTTTGTTTTTGTTTTGTTTCGCTATAGGGCACATGTGCTCGCCAGAAAGACAGAGAGAGATAGAAAGCGAGGAATCATCCGCTGGGGGATGGCCATGCCACAACCCCTTCTCCTCCATTCTCCTCTCAGGATCTTGGGCACGCACGCACACGCACCCGGCATGAATTTAAGCCACCAGGTCCAGGACTCGAACCACGGTCAACTACATGGGAGTTCAGTGACATAGCCATCACACCAACTGCTGGTCCCTGTCATTATAATTTTCTTAAAAATTATTTATTTCATTCTATCTGTTATTATTATCATTTAATTTGACCAGAAAGTGAGAGAGAGAAAGAAAGGAAAAGAAAGAAAACAAGTCTCCAGGTCTGAAATTCGAACTGTGGTCAGCCATGTGGTAGTCCAACACCTCAACCGTCACACCACCTGCCGCCTCTCATCAGAAAATATTAATAACATTTATCCAGGGGGTATAAAAAACATTGTTTAGGAGACAGCAGGTGGTATGGTGGTTAAGGCTCTGGATTCCCACATGGCCAACTATGGTTCAAGTCCTGGACCTGGCAGCTTGCTCTCTCTCTCTCTCTCTCTCACATGAGTGCAGCTTACTTTCTCTCTCTCTCGTGAGTATAGCTTATTTTCTTACTCTCTCGTGAGTGTAGAGATTAATAATAATAATAATAATAATAAATTAAATTAAATAAATAACTCTTTAAAAATTATTTAACCTTACTTGCATTATGGACATTTTTACATTTAGTTTCACAACTCTAAGATGGATATTATTATTAGTATTAAAGTTTATTTCTTCCATGAGTGAGAGAGAGAGACAGAGAGAAAATGACAAGCACCAGCAACATGGAGCTTTGACTAGCTATAATATAGCGTATTAGAGGAGGTAAAAAAAGTTATCATAGCATAAGACATAAAAATTAATTCGAGATTTTCACAAAATTTAATAAGATACCAAAAATCATTGTCAATAAGCCTCAGTAAATCAAAAGAAAGTGTCTTTCATATTATTTATGCCTCAATTTCCAAGGGGGAGCCTCAACTCTTAACTACAGATCCAGTACCACCAGGCCTCTGTGTCTGTGGGTTTGGCATTTATGATTTCAACCACAGATGTGCCAGACCACACCAATTGTCATGAAATGGGGGAAGAGGAGTCTCTCCAAAAGAGAGATGCACGAGGACTTTTTTCCATATATTTTCCTTTCCACTTGTAGCTGATGCTAAGATTACTTTTAAGTCATCTAAAGATGATTTAATGCACGGGGAGAATGCGTGTAGGTTATGGGCAAGTACTTCACCGCTTTACATCAAGGGACTTGTACAGTCCAGGATTTAGGTAACCTGGGGGGTCCTGGAACAATTCCCCATAAATATCAAGGGACTGCTGTATTTCTTTTTCTATACAAATAAAACTGTCTTGGATTAATAGAACCCTGATTAGAAAGCACAGGGGTAGTAACCACCTCAGCATTTGTCTTCCTGTTCTCAGGTTTTCCCCAGAGCACATCCCTAGAATTAAGGCCTTTGTAGGCATAAATGGTGTTGTAAAACACAGCATGAATTAGCAGGGAGAGCTTGATTCTAACGAGTCTCTCGTAGCCTGATGAGTGCGTGGTTCCTTTAACCTCTCCCATTCGCTTTCACACATCTGGATGCATTTTAGGTGTGGTATTTGGAATCATGCCAGGGGGTTATTACCATATGGAGACGTTTTCCTATGTTCTCAACTAAGTCCCAATATTTCAAGGAAGGATGAGATTTGTCGATTCATCACTTTTATGTCATTTGATGGTATAAATAGTCATTTTTTTCCAGACATAAAAAGTTATACACAGACTGTGCATAGTCATTTTACTGAGAATCTTGGCAAACATTGACTTTCATAAAGATGGAAGGAGTACCTACAAGTCATTCTTTTAAAAAGACTCTAGTTGTACGTTAATGTTGTTGATGACCACATGACCAGGAAACCATAGAAGTGTATCGAATAGATGTGAAATGAAATTTTCTTTGAGACACAGAAGAGTGACTGATCTGAGAGAGAACAAAGGACTTAATTCGTATTTTGATTTTATTTCTAAGAGTGGAATTAGGCAGTTTACCTTAGGTGATAGTAACTTATGAAGACATGGAGACCTCAGGATTCTAGTAGCTTAAATGCTTATTTCTATAGAACGTAAGCATGGATTTGTAAGCTTACCATGAATGTGATGTGCATCCTTATACATAATCATTTATATTCTCATTGAGATTAATTTGTGCTTATTTTAAAACACAAAGATAAAAAAAGTTTGTTTGTTTTTTTTTTTTTTTTCCTTTCCTTACCAGCAGTTCTCACTGAAATCTGGCATTTTGGTTTGTTTTGATGTCAAAAACAAACAAACTCTTGGGCCAGTAGATGGTGTAGCAGTTGCATCCCTGGAATCCCACATAGCCAAATGTGGTTCAAGTCCCAGATCTGGTGGCTTGAAGCTTATGCCCAAGATTCTGAGAGGAGAATGGAGGGGAAGGGATTGCTGCTTGGCTATTCCACCCGGGGGGTGACTTCTCACTTTCCTCTCTCTGTCTCTGTCTCTTTCTCTGAGCACACACATCCTAAGGCAAAAACCTCTACAAAAAAATAATAATAATAATGCTAGGATATTTAGATGAACTATCTTCATAACACCTTTTGCAATAATGGGAAACACATACCATACTGTACTAAGACTTTTTAAAAAATTTATAAGCATAGGGGCCGGCAGGTGGTATAATGGTTAAAGACATTGGATTCCCACATGGTTGACTGTGGTTTGAGTCCGGGACCTGGTGGCTTGCTTTCTTCCTTTCCCTTTCTCTGTCTCTCTCTTATCAAATTAAAAGAATAATAATAACAAATGTAATTGAATAAATAAATAACTCTTTAAAAATCATAAGCATAAATATTCAGAATAAATAGCATACATGTATTATGGAATTATATATGTTAATAAAAAATCAGTTGATAATTGAAAAAATTCTTTCTCCTATGTGTATAAATACAGGAGATGAAAAAAAAATGTTTGTTCTAATCTAATATATGTGTGACTTAAGTTTTTTTGTTTGTTTTTCTTAGAGGTTTTTGCCTTAGGGTGTGTGCATTCACCAGAGAGAAAAAGCAACAAAAATAGTGAGAGAGAAACTGAGAAATCACTCCCCCCAGGGGGATGGCCCCACCCCAGTCCCTTCTCTTCCACTCTTCTACCAGGCTCTTGGGCATGCATGCACATGTACCTGGAGTGATTTTCAAGCCACCAGGTCTGGGACTCAAACAACAGTCAGCTATGTAGGAGTCCAATGACATAGCCACCATGCCATCTGCTGGCCTGTGGCCTAAGATATTAAATCGAAGGCTATATGAACTACAGGATATGTAATATTATCATACACACACAGAGCGTTCCAATTTAATAGCCACAAATAAATTCAGCACTGCTCTCTAAAATCTAACATTAAAATGTGCTAAGAGGCAAGTGAAACTTGAATATTGAAATGATCATAGGTGATCGCAATAGATTCAGATTACAGTTAGCATATCATCAGCTCTTCTGCCCGTGAACATGAAAATAGTCAGATACATCATCTCTCTGTAAGTTTAAATACAATTTTGGAAAAAAAAAATCTGTGGACACCTTGGCCTCCTGTTAGGCATTTGTTTTCATCTTCAGCCATTCCCCTTTTTCCACGTGCTGAGAATTCACACTGCGTGAAGCACATCCCCTCCTATGTATGAAAAACAGCCTATGTCAACACAGTCAATGGATGCCAAAGCAGTGAGATCAATTTATTCTTCTAGAAAGCTGCTATGACAGTAAACATATCTAAGTAGAAGAAGAGTGCTTGGGTTCCAGAGGTACGGTGCCCTTTCTCTGTGCAATTCCTGTCTCTGTGCATGTTCCAAAGCCTGAAGGTACTGACAAGTATGGTTAATTGACTTGTAGCATTAATTAAGTTAATGATCCAAGACTTTTGCTTCACAGCTCTAACACATCAGATTATGGTACCAGGAGCATGTTAGAGTAATTCAAACTACTCCATTCTATGATAATCATTATGTCATTAACACTGCAATTTAAGGAGCTAGCCCTGCCCAGAAGAACAGAGAAGAGTCACTGATCTCTAATATGCTAATAGAGCATGAAGGTCCAAACCTGAGAGATAGGCAGTTAGAGACTTTCTATTGATTCTAAGTAAAGTGATGACATTCTTCTCTCACACAAAAGGAAAAAGACTTTTGAATCATTTAAATTAAAACATTATTTTCAAATGGTCTCATTGACGCTAAGTATTTAGCCTGGTAACATCTTTGAAATCATGAATTATAAAAGATTTTTTATTCATTAAAGGAAGAACACAGACTAAATTCTTGGAGGGAAAATATTTTACACAGTATAACTGAAAAAAAAAAACTACCTTCTTCAAGCTCAACAATAAATTTCTTTATTTAACCCTTGGCAGAGCTATTTTATACATTATTTGATAGTTAAGAAAACTAAGAAAATAAAACTTAAATTAAAATGTGAGTGAAAGGTTAACTTGATATCTCTTACCAATTTATTTTTGTTTTTAGAGTTTTTGTTTTTGTTTTGTTTTGTTTTTGCTATAGGTGCATATACTCACCAAAGAAACACAGAGTGAAAAATCACTCCCCTGGGAAATGACCACACCACAATCCTTTCTCCTTCATTCCCCTCTCAAGATTTTGAGTATGCAAGCACATGCACCTGGCATGAGTTTCAAGCCTCTGGGACCAGGACTAAAACTATGGTCGGCCTTGTGGGAGTCCAGTGATGTCATAATTATGCTCTCTACTGGTCCCACCAATTGCTTATACTCAAAAAATCAAATTTTCTTAAAATTTAAATTTTAAAAGAAATTCATTCTCCAAACTAATATTATCCTAGTTGTAACTTCTGATACTTCCAAAGTCATTGTATGTTATAAAACATGAATAAATCTTATTTATTTTAGGGTATCTCTTCACCGCTCACTTTGAACTAATGACAATGGTGTATGATTTAAATTAAACTCAGATGTCTTTCTGTTAAAATGTGATTTTGTAAAGGATAAATAAGATAACCAAATGCTGAATGATATAAATTACACATGAAAAAGAATGGCACCTAAATTTTTTTTAATTGTTTTTAAGTCAGAGTTTACAAAGGCAATATTTTCAAACAGGATTACAAATATATAGGGAGGACTTCAAAAACTCTGTGGAAAAATGGAATTAAATTATGAGTTTTATTTTGTGAAAAAAATTAAATCCATGCAGTTTTTTATAATACTCATTTTTCCATTGATTTTTGCAGAGCTTTTGTATAGCTGAGCTTGATAGGATCAATAACTTAAGGTTTATACTTTTTTTTTTTTTAGACACATATGTCCAAGTATTTGCCAAGTATTTGAGTAAGAACACATTGTAGCACCCTCTAAAGTGGCTGGTAACTTCTTTACTTTCAAGTTCTCCTCTTAGAATAGAAAGGTATTCTGAAACTTTTAGCTGTGCTTTGCCTTGTAAGGAGGGCCCCAATTTTATTTGTTAGGAAAAAAAATTGTGTTTAAGATTCTGCGGTGTGTAGAAATGGGCTTAGTAAGCAGTGTCATGAGTCTGACGCATGCTTGCAATTTCAGAGCAGGACAATTGTAGCTACATAATCGAGCCACAAACAGAACTAAGTTAAACAAAGCTTTGACCATGCTTTAAGCAAAGTCCTTATGATGGAATGGATCATCTGTCCTCAACATTAGGTCTAGTTGTGCATATCAAATGTATATGCTTTCATGAGATACCTAATAAATGCATTAGTGCAGTCATTATAGAAAGCAGAAAATAGCTTCACAGATAAAACATGTAATGTAAACCAAGCTTTCGATAACTGGACATTAAGAATTCTACTGCATCTCATTGTGTTATGGACTTGGAATACTAGAGATTATTCTGAAACAATGTCAAATTATTATAATAATTTAAAGTTATAGAATAGTAGCTTAAGAGCATATTTGATGGTTTACTTGTTTTTAAATTCTGTTCGACAACAGATATATGTAAGTTAATGGGTATTTCTTGAGATGACAAAATTATAGTTTGACAAATAAGCTAAATAAGATTAATTCTGACCTTTGAAAACGCATGAGTCAAGGAAATCTCTACAGGGAAAGAATCCTACAAAAGTTTCAACTCTTCATCTGTGAGCTGTAAAGCAGGAAGGACCATCAGGGCCAGCAGGTGGCGTGGCGGTTAAAGCTATCTCCAGTGTGGCCTACATGGCTGACTGCAGTTCAAGTCCGAGTGCTGGTGGCTTGCTTTCTCACTTTCCCTCTCTCTCTCTGTCTGAGAAAACTGGAAAATAATAAATAATAATCATAATAAGTAAAGTTAAATAAAATAATTCTTAAGAAAAAAAAGGACCGTCAACAAAGAAAATAAATTAAGTGAAAGTAAAATCATGTCAATTCCTTGGAAACAGTATTTTCTTCCAAGGTGACTATGTAAATTATTTGCTAAATATTGTGATGCACATTTGTACAATAGGACAATTAAATAAGATTTTGAACTCTGAGATATCGTTTTAGTTTCCTCATGTGAAATAGAATATTCTTGTATTTCTTTTCTCCAAGATATGATCCCCTCAGGATTGATTTTCACATGTGGTTTTGCTGTAGCAGTGTTAATATATTTATATGTAAGACTTTTTTTTAACCAGTTTGGTACATTTTAGGGAAAATGTGTGAATCTTCTGTCAATTACTGTGAATGCAACCCCTGCTTCAATGGTGGTTCCTGCCAAAGTGGTGTGGATACATATTACTGTCATTGTCCATTTGGTGAGTATAATTTTGTTGGCATAAAATATTAGTCAGTTTGCACACACAGTTTAGCAATTTTGTTGTACCGTGACTATGAGTGATTAAGAAACTGTGGTGTTACACAGCAGGTTTTAGTAAAATAAAAGCTTAGAGGTTTAACATTTTGAAAAGTTAATTATGGAAATCCCATTGAATATATTGCTTTGATCATTACTAGAAAAATAATTAACTCAAGCTAATTGAATCAGTGTTGTCTCCCCAGGACATGTCCCTTCAAATATTTATGGATGCCTCCTTTTAAGCCTGGAACTTACCGAATAAAATTGCATAAAGCACTATTTGGGATCGCTCTCTATTTCAAGAATAGCCAGTCAAAATGTTTTTTTTTTTTGTTTGTTTGTTTTCATATTAATCCAACCAGCTCGTATTATAAGGATTTAGTAACTATACATGCAGTTTTAATGATAGACTTTTTTGAAGATAATAGAAAATGACTAATAAAAATTCACACCCATGTACTATTTTTCTTTTTTCTTTTTTTTGGAGAGGTTTTTGCTATAAGGCGTGTGTGCTCGCCAGACAGAGAGAGATAGAGAGACAGAAAGCAAGAAATTACCCCCCAGGGGGGATGGACACGCCGCAATCCCTTCTCCTCCATTCTCCTCTCAGGATCTTGGGCATGCACACACACACACCCAGCGTGAGTTTTAAGCCACCAGGTCCAGGACGCGAACCGTGGTTGACTACATGGGAGTCCAGCAACATAGCCATTATGCTAACTGCTGGTCCCACTCATGTACTATTTTGAGGAGGAAATTTGTTAAAAAGAACGTTTTCATACACACATATTTATTCACCTTAGTGGGATGAATCCTTGGAAGGATTTCTTCCAAATTCCACCCAAATGTTATTCAGAACTGGACCTGGACTGTCAGAAGAGTTAAAGTAGAAGATTTTATATTAACTATGTTTGTTTCATAAGTTTGTGATTATTCCATTAGTATGTATTTAAAAGCTGCTTTATCCCACACATAGAATACTGAATGTCTGCACTCTACAGAAAGGTAGGAAGTTATTAAAACATGGAGAACAAATGTGAATACTAGAGATAGTGTGGGAGGAGGGTGGGAAATGAGGGGTGGTGAGAAAGAGGGAATTAAGAGAAAAATAGCAAAATGTTTAACAGACATGAAAATGGAAAATTTTTATTATTAATGGTACGTATGGTAATCACTTTAACTGGACTAGTATATATTGTAGTCATGCAGGGAAAATTCATTTTATATTATATAAAGATATACAGCAATTAAATGTAAAACAAGTATAACAAAGGAAGAAAAAAATAAAATTGAACTCAGACTATCCAAAGATGATGTAGTCAGTGCATCACAAATTTTGTGTTCAGTACAGTTTCATGCCTCTCTTCTTTTATTCACTTTCTTTGAGTTTCACTCACAATGTCCATAGAGTTGAAAAAGGTATATCAAGGTTAAAAATGAATAAAGAACTTTAGATTTCCTAAATTTTTTCCTTTCTTTCAGTGGTTTAATAAGTCTCAATAGCACTGCTTTCTATAAATAATAAGAGTCAGGTTCCATGGCTTAACTTATGTTTTGTAGTCAAAAATAGAGAACTGTAGTGAACGTAGACAATTATCTTCAAGTGACCAAACAGAAGTAGTTACAGTTTTAGGGATTCTTTACACTCCGATTTCAAATATGAGGATTTAAGGAAATTGATGCTGGGTAGAACAAGTTGTTGCTGAAGTACAGTGCTGCACAATCATTGCCTCTTGGGTGGGAGTATTTGGGTATCCACACAAGTCTTTGCCTAACGCAGCCAAAGGTCCCCAGGGAAAAGGGAAAAACACAAAGTAAATTAAAATATACAGAGATCACATGTAGCTGCCAGTGCAGATTTCTACCCCTCTTCCTTCCAGTGGCAAAGACAAGAAGCACTACTTACTGTTAGACATTGTCAGTTGACGATGTTACCACTTATCAAAGAAAACAGAACAATGAACCTTGAAACACTAATACACAATTTGAGATTACAAAGATAGAATTAAGAGGAAAAATTATTTTCCTTCTCAAATCGAATGTGGATGAAACATACAATTAATGACAGACATAAAGCCTCCAAGAAGTAGGCATGCATGTATGTGTGTGTGTATTGAACATAATTACTAGAATCTAGAATATTATATATAAATTACTCTAATAAAATATATTGTATGTATATACCCACATAGACAAAAATATCACTGCTAGAGTAATTTTTATGATTTCTCTTGATCTTTTATCTAGATATATTTCATGTCATTCCATTTGGAAAATTTAAAATAGTCACTAAATTTTATGTTATTGTATTTCAAAGACCAGAAGCTACTTTTCTGTAGAAAACTCCTTGAAAAGAAAAAACTTCTATAAAGAAATAATTCCATGTTTGAAAATATAGTGTCTAGTTGGATTAAGATGTAAAACATTTTTTCCAGTATTTACACACATTCTACATATAGTTATATTCCAATTTTAAGTACAGGTTCATACATTAGTTAACATTTAATCAGAAGAGACTTGAGGGAACATAGTACAGTTTTATCTTCAGTAATCTTTCTCTTTTATTTGTATGTTTTATCTTTTTTGTTATTAGTTTAATGTGTTACTTTTTCATCTATCCAGAATATACATACAATATCAGTTCATCATAAAAGTCATGATGTGTTTTTCTATGTTCTTCTATGCAAAATGTGTCCTGACTTTTCCGACAACCCACTAGTATACTTACTATGAATAATTGTAATTTAGTATATAGAATATAATTATAATATATACATAAAATATAAATGCCGTATAATAGATATAATTGGAGGGCCTTCTAAAATGTTATGGAAAATATGTATTATGAAACAATTATGCATAGTTTTCTGCACCAGAGAAAACTCGTATTTTAATTACATTTTTTACACTTTTTGAAATCCTCTCATTTATTTCTGATATGTTGTATAAAAATAAATGCATACTATGTATGATATATTCGATTTATATAATAAATATCTTTACTTTTGAGAATTATTTATTCTATTTTATTTATTGTTATTGTAATTTTAAACTTGATATAGGACATGGGCACTCACCAGACAGAGACAGAGAGACAGAAAGACAAAGAGAGAAAAAATTTCAGCCAGCCATGTGGGAGTGCAACACCTTAACAACCATACTACCTGCTGGCCCCATATGTATCATTTTTATAATTCCTTTCTTTAACTTTAGTTAAAGAGTTAACAAGTGAGTATTATTATTTCAGCCTGAAGAGAAAAGGAAAAAAAAAAAAAACCAGATTATACAGACTTTCATAGCAGCTTTTATTTAACATTTGGATATAAAATACAGTATAGTCAAAACAACTAAACAATCAGTAAATCTGGTTTCCAATTTGGGTTGTGTTTCCCATGGTTCTGGGACCTTGGGCAAGTTTTAAATACTCTGTAAAATAATGGCATTGGTTCCTTCTAGCTCAAAAATTCCCTGATCCTAAATTTAATATTTTTACAAAAGATACAAAGCCAAAGTTAAGGAATGAAACCTTTGAAAGTTAATTAGAATCATGATGTATTGGCATGGGTTAATTTTCCAATCATTTGCCACAGTCTACTAATATTTGTGGGAAAAGAATTTTGGCATAGTATTGTAACATCAATAAAACTCATTTTTCAAGTTTGAAAAAGAACCAGCACAAATAAATGGGAACGTTGAATTTCAGAAAAACAGAAAGCTATTTTAGAGTAGCTTGTTATAAATCATACCTAAAGAGTATATAAAACAAGAAAGAGATAAAAAAAATTAAGATAGTAATTTCCTTCTCTGAAAGCAATGATTCCTTTTCCCAACTGTGAAGCCACTGAAAATACCATGAGTGTAAGAACTGAGGTTTTAAACAAGTCAAAACAAATCAATGTACCCTCTTTAGTTGAATTGTATTTAACAATTATATATTCTAAAGAAAGTGTCCTGGTTGAGAATTATCTCATATTAAGATCCTAAAAACATTGACCAACTAGTTTTAAAAGTTTTCTGGAATAGAAATCTCTTCATATTTCTCTATTCAACCAAAGTTCTTAATTTTAATAAATGGGCATATTTGGGAACCAGCAGTTAGCGTAATGGCTATGTTGCTGGACTCCCATGTAGTCAACCGCGGTTTGCGTCCCGGACCCGGTGGCTTAAAACTCATGCCGGGCGCATGTGCGTGCGTGCCCAAGATCCTGAGAGGAGAATGGAGGAGAAGGAATTGCGGCGTGGCCATCCCCCCTGGGGGGTGATTTCTCGCTTTCTGTCTCTATGTCTCTCTCTGTCTGTCTGGTGAGCACACATGCCCTATAACGAAAACCTCTCCAAAATAAATAAATAAATAAAATAAATGGGCATACTTAGATATGTTTCTTAATTGGCTAAAGAAAGACAATTATATCAATTTTTATTTGTGTCATATGTTTTATGCTTTGAAGATCATCAATTTGTTCTATTTCAATTTTAGTTTAGGTGATATTCTTTGGGTAATAGTAAAAATGATTTTATGATTGGTTACTGTAATTTCAGGTTATTTTAGTCAAAATAACTTGGAAGACTTCACTGGAGTTTGGTGTGTGATTTTGTCAATTTTTCTTCCTGTAGGTGTCTTTGGAAAACACTGTGAGTTGAACAGTTATGGATTTGAGGAGTTATCATACATGGAATTTCCCAGTTTGGACCCCAATAACAACTATATTTATGTCAAATTTGCAACTATCAAAAGTCACGCTTTATTGCTTTACAACTATGACAACCAGACAGGGGACCAGGCTGAGTTTTTGGCCCTTGAAATAGCAGAAGAAAGATTAAGATTCTCTTATAATTTGGGTAGTGGAACTTACAAACTCACCACCATGAAGAAGGTGTCAGATGGACATTTTCACACTGTGATTGCCCGGAGAGCAGGAAATGGTAAGCTAGTTCATCTCTCATCCTCCTCGTTTATTGTCGTATATCCAGACAATTAGACCTTCAAGTAAAGCATTAATCAGGATGCAGACTGAATTAAATTATACCACTATTTGACCAGTTTAGTGATGAACAACAGGCTTGTAAGCAGTAGTTTTCTATTTTGCTGCTGACAGCCATGCTGCTGTCTCAAAAGCAATAAAAGAGAGGAAGACAGAAAAAAATAGCCTAGGGTATGAAAATTCCACTGATAATTCATGTATATTTTTAAGGCCATGTCAGGTCTATCCTTAAAAGAGGTACTCCTTCTTAAATATTTTTTCCCCAATTGAAGAAACAACTTAGAAACAAAGACAGAAATCTTTTCTACAAATACATGACTGTCAAAGGATGATTACTTAATACTTACTTCAATAACGTACCAATCTTATTAATCTTTATCACACTATCACCTCACTGTACTGTCATTTGTGAGGTCTATGATATAACACTGTGTTAGGGCAATGTTTGTTTTCTGTTACTAAAATTAACCTGCAATGACAACATTTTATAGACTTGGTTAGTATTTGTATTTATCTTAGATAAATGGAACAAAGTTGGAGTAGCCGTGTTCTGTGGCATTCAAATAAATTGAGGTAGGACTCTTTATTCTGTGTTTTGGGAGAATCCCTTAATCTTCCTGTGCTTCTAGATATTTGATTAAACCTTTTCCTGTAAATTATTAGTTACTTTCTGAAATAACACACTGAAGATCATTCTTAAAATTTCATCCATTAAAATGTGCAAAATATTGGGACCAGCAGTTAGCATAATGGCTATGTTGCTGGACTCCCATGTAGTCGACCGTGGTTCGCGTCCCAGACCCGGTGACTTAGAACTCACGCTGGGCGCGTGTGCGTGCTTGCCCAAGATCCCAAGAGGAGAATGGAGGAGAAGGGATTGCAGCGTGACCATCCCCCCCGGGGGGTGATTTCTCGCTTTCTGTCTCTCTGTCTCTCTCTGTCTGGCGAGCGCACGCGCCCTATAGCACAAACTTCTCCAAAAAAGAAAAAAAAAAAGAAAAAAAAATGTGCAAAATGTTGTCATTTGCTGAATTTTACTGAAGTATGGGAAACAAAGGAGAGGCATCACTATGGCACTACAGAGTGCAGAATAATAAAGATATACAGCTTTGATATTAAGCTGGAAAACAGTCATCCTCAGTGATTATTGTCCAATATACAAAACCCTTACTTCTATCATATTCTTCAACCTTCTTACCATAAGTTGAAGATTTGGTTTTTTATTGAAATGGAGTATTCATGTGCCCCACTTAACAGAAGGGGATATGCATCTTTTATGATGCAAAACTGAGTTTCTGTTTTAATACCATTGGAAGTTTTTACTGTATAGCAATGCATAATGATACATTCTGGTAACACATAGAAATGCTTTAATGTGTTCTTTATGACTAATGATTCATAAGGTAAACGAGAAGAACACTCAATCAATTTGTTTACTTTATCTCAAGCTTTAACTTAATGTAAATATTAAAATTGTCATAGGTTTCGGTAATAGTATTTATTTTGACCTTTCATAATTTTTATAAATATGACTAGAATAGTAATGTTATTAAAATATGACTTTTTTTAAGGAGAGATTTTTTGCTATAGGGTGCTATACACTTGCTGGGGAGACAGAGAGTCAGAAAGTGAGAAATCACCCCTCCCCCTGGGGGCTCGGAGATGGCCACTCTGCAATCCCTTCTCCATTCTTCTCTTGAGATTTTGGGGCATACACTGGCATGTGCCCATCATGAGTGGTTTTCTTTTGTTTTGTTTTATTTTATAGATTTTTGCTACAGGGCAAAATTGAGAGACAGAAAGAGACAGAGAGATAGAAAGCAAGAAATCATCCCCCAGGGGGATGGCCATGCTGCAATCCCTTGTCCTCCATTCTCTTCTCAGGATTTTATACATGCACACACACCAGCATGAGTTCTAAGCTACTACATCAAGGACTCAAACCATAGTTGACTACACGGGAGTCCAGTGACAACAGTATGCCATCTGCTAGTCCCAAAATGTAACTTAAAAAAAAAAAATTAGAGATTTTTGCTGTATAACACATGTATTCGCTAGAGAGAGAGTAGAAGGACAGAAAGTGAGAAATCACTCCCCAGGGGGGAAGGACATGCTGCAGTGCTTTTTCCTCCATTCTCCTCTCAGCATTTTGGGCATGCACACACATACACCTGGCATGAGCTTTAAGCCACTAGGTCCAGGACTCAAACCTCCGTTGACTAAGTTAAAGTCCCGTGACATAACCATTACACCATCTGCTGGTCCCCCAAAATATGACTTTTGAAAAATCAAAAGTTGAGTGTCTTTTCATTTGGTGGAATAGCTGGATAATAAAATAAACATTTTCTTTAAGATTGTGATCTTAGAAAGATTTACCAGACTTCATGATATTATAAGAAAAAAATAATGGCATTTTTATTCTTTTATTAATGAAACAATGGGGCAGGAAATTTTTTTTCACTTTTTTTTTTGTGTGTGTGTATGTAATATAAGGCATATGTATTCATTGGAGACAGAGACTGACAGATAGTGAGAAACCACTCCCTAGAGGTGGATGGCCATGCCACAATCTCTTCAGTCTCCTCTAGGGATTTTTGGGGATTTTCCTATTATGTTTCTCCAGCTACTGGGTCCAGGACTCGAACCACATAGTCAGCCACGTAGGATCCAGCTGCCTCAACTGCCATTGTATCTGATGGCTCACAGGAAAATAGTCTTCAAAGTACTCTCCCACCTCTTATAAATATAGATATTCAAAATTATATACATATCAGTTTTAGACATATCAAAGAAATGTATGGGATAATTTATTATTGCATTGTAACTATATTATTTGTTATGATTATAATGTATTAATCAAAGTGTTATCACGGTTTCAAAATCAAGTCCCTGTAGACCCAAATTCTGCATAGGACTTACCTGGCAAATCAAATAGGATCCAAGATGACCATTTCTACCTCTTGTTTTCTAGGCAGCTTCTTTAACTGTGGACTCCTGTTCTGAGAACCAAGAACCAGGATATTGCACTGTTAGCAATGTGGCAGTTTCTGATGATTGGTACGTAAAACTTGTTAACTTGTTCTTTATTATTCTTAAAATTAAATAGGGAAATTATACATCTAAAATCATTATATTATGCTAAATATTGCATAAAAGTTAAAGATTTTTATTTCCCCAAAGGGATCTTTATGTTATAAAATAGAATTGTTAATAATTAATGTACAAAATATTTGGGGATATGTGTGAAATTTAATGGTTGAGGTGAGGCTAAAACTACAGGGAGGAACGTTTCAGGTCACCTGTGTTCTTTGAATAGTTTCCTGAAATAGGTTGCATGTGTCCTAGGTTCTGGAAGGAGGATATGATAAGGTTCCCAACTCTTTCAGACACATTCTTTGACAGTTGTATATGACTATTATCAACAGATACTTTTCAACAGCATCTTAAACTAGAACATAGCATTAGCTTATCTAAAACATAAGCAATTTTTAATAAAAACAGAAACAGAAAATAAGGGAACCCATCAACCGTCACATTTAACCATTTAATGACTGCCCCCTTATTATCTCTATAGCAAATGAACCAGGTACTACAACAGAAATACTGAAATTGTCACTGTTTTTACTGCAGTTTGTTCTCTCTCTCTCAAAACTTGTTCCTTTTTACTGAATCAGCTTTGTGACATTTGAGGGTCTTGAATAAGTTCATGGATAATATGTACTATGAAAACTATGCGTGGATTTCAAAATCATTTTGCACCAAAATATACTCATACCTTAATTCCATTTTTGCACCATTTTTTTTTTTAGGTATCCTTGTACATCTAATTTGACTACTTTCAAACATAGTTTCCATAATTTTTATTATTTTTCACATTTTAAAAACCTAATGATCCTGTAGGTATCTGTTTGGAAAACAAGTGTCAACACGTATTATTGTCCACTAAAGTTTACCACACTATTATACATGCTAGTTATACTCACTCTTTTGTAAACTGTTTCATCAAAGTCTGTTGTGGGAACCAGCAGTTAGCGGAATGGCTATGTCGCTGGACTCCCACGTAGTCGACCGTAGTTCGCGTCCTGGACCCGGTGGCTTAGAACTCATGCTGGGCATGTGTGTGTGCGTGTCCAAGATCCTGAGAGGAGAATGGAGGAGAAGGGATTGTGGTGTGACCATCCCCCATGGGGGGTGATTTCTCACTTTCTGTCTCTCTGTCTCTGTCTGTCTGGCGAGCGCACCCGCCCTATAGCGAAAAAAACTCTCAAAAAAAAAAAAAAAAGAAAAAGTCTGTTGTGTTAGTACTTATTATTATTTATTTATTTATTTTTAGGACTCTTGATGTTCAACCAAATCGAGTCACAGTTGGTGGTATCCGATTGCTAGAACCAATTCTTCAGAGGAGAGGGCACGTGGAAAGCCATGATTTTGTTGGGTGTATAATGGAGTTCGCAGTCAATGGAAGGCCTCTGGAACCCAGCCAAGCCTTAGCGGCACAAGGCATCCTAGATCAGTACGGCAATGTTACTCACTATTTCAAAGGAAAAGGCGAAAAATGGATAATAGCTGAACACCAAAAATAAAATTATTGTGCTAAATCCCATAAAATACCAAATAGCTTTTACTGTTTTGAATTTTAAATATATATACTAATAGCTCTGACATTTTTTTAGTATAATGTATGATATTTAATTATAAAAGTAATTTTGTCCAGCCTTATTTGTGAACTCCGGTTGCTGGTGCTACTCCACAGACTGAACCAGGTGGTGTGATGGTTGGGTGGCTGGATCCCACATGATCGACTGATCGACTATGTGGTTCCAGGCCTGGACCCAGTGCCCAGTGGCTAGAAAAACACACTGGATGCATGTGTGTGCATGTCCCAAATCCTGGGAGGAGAATGGAAAAAGAGATTGTGGCACAGCCATGCCACTAGAGGGGCAAATTCTCATCTTCTATCACTTGTTCTCTCTCCGTCTGTCTGTCTGTCTCTGTCAAACACATGCACCCTATACCAAATTTAAAAAAAAAAAAATAGAAAGATTAGCTTAAAGAATAAAGTGCCACTCCTTTTGCTTTATTGTATAAGACATTATTTTTATTTACTCTCTCTTAATGCGAGGCCGGCCATTTTTCACAGGGCACTTTCAGGTTTGATTGGTTGTTCCAAATGTAGCTGTAACCTGAGTTTCAAGTAGTTGAATGTTTGAAAATAAAGAGGTTAATAAGTTTATCACTACGTTCACCAAACTTCTCCCCATCTTGTCTGTGCTTTATGGGTTCTTATTGTGATTTTATTTCAGATGCCCTAGACTGGAAGGTGCTTGTACCCGCAGCCCCTGCCAACATGGCGGCACATGCGTGGATTACTGGTCCTGGCAGCAATGCCATTGCAAGGAGGGACTGACTGGGAAATACTGTGAAAAATGTACGTAAGCTGTCCTGTCTTCCAGTGCCAATTACAGTAATCATGCAAAGTGTACACATGTGCACCTGAAGATGTAACTGAGTTAACAGATTATGCTTCTATTCTAACTAGTAAAAATATGAATCAGGTGTAAATGGTAAAATAGAGCAACCTTTTAAATTCACCCGAAGAAGAAAGATATCTTTTTAAAAACTATTCACTAAATACATCTTTAGCTTTCATTTTATAAATATGTCATGCAGTTATTTCTGTTGTTTCTTGGAGGAATTCTAGGCCACTTAAAAGATCAGAGGCTGTATATTCAGGCTTTGGTTTAATATTTGCCTTTGAAGGATTATTCTTTTTTTTTTTTTCCATCTAGGAAAAAAGTTCTTTGGTCAATTTTTTATATTTGGTAGAGAAATATACACCCTAAATTGAGACACAGTAAGCGTCATGCAATGGCTATGTAATAAAATTAAGGATGATTCTTTACATTGTAATTTGCAATTACAGACATTAGTTTTAATTTGAAATCAACTTATATTTATATATATATTTCATTATTTATTTGTCCTTTACACTCTGTTTTTATTATTAATAAGACATTAATGATGTTAAAACCATCATTGGAGAATGGTATTATTGAATATCAAGCTGTATATTCCATTGTCTAAAAGGACATCTTTTATTTTAAAAAAATTACATCATTCTCAAATAAGCAGTTACTACTTAAATCAATTATGATTAATGACTGTCAGAAGTGTTTTACATTTCATGGTTTTGAAATGGATGTAAGCATTTGAAATCAACTTATATAATAAGTCTCAGTGTTTATTATCTTTTCAAGAATAGAGTTGCGGAACGTTATTTCCACAAAGTCAACATTATCATGATCCTTTTAAATATATTTTTATCACATAGAAAACTCTCTAAGACATGCTTAATAAACATGCATTCATTTATCGCTCTCTTGCTTGGCTTTCAGCTATTACTCCTGACACTGCCTTATCCTTGGAAGGCAAAGGGCGCTTGGACTACCACATGAGTCAGAGTGAGAAGCGGGAGTATTTGTTAAGACAAAGTATTCGAGGTGCCATGTTGGAGCCTTTTGGTGTGAACAGTCTGGAAATAAAATTCAGGACAAGAAGCGAGAATGGCATTTTAATCCATATCCAAGAGAGCAGCAATTACACTACTGTGAAGGTAAGATAAAAGCTAATGGTGACTTCATTTGATTAGACCGCCTGCTGTGTCATGGTTTAAATCACTTCTCCCATAATTTCTGTCCTTTTCTTTACAACCCATTAGAGTTCCGACTAATGCTGGGCATTATTCCAATATCATCTATCTTAACTATTCCCCAGGCCTTGGCCAGAGTAACAAAGGTCTGAATGGGTTGGTTTCTAAACACTTTTGTCTTGGTTTAGAGTAGAGACCACTGCCAGGTAGACCAGCACAGAAAGAATTTGTTGCAATCTATTGAGTTCGATAAAAATTTATATTGCTTTTTTTTCTACCTTTAAACAAAACAGAACAAAAAGATAATGTGTCTTTGGAATGGAAAAATATTTTTTTCTGGAAGAATTACTTAAAACATTGATCTGTATATGTTAATAGGTGGGATTAGGGGAAAATATTTTCAAATTATTTGGCTATGTTTAGAAACATATATTCCATTCACCATTTAAACTCCGAGCTTAAGTATATTTAGAATTTGTTGTAAGTAAAATTTCACCTAACTTCTCCAAATAGTTTATTTATTTATTTACTTATTTCAATTTGACTAGAGAGGGATAGAGAGAGAGAGAAAATGTGAGAGCAAGCCGCCAGGTCAGGGACTCAAAACTATGGTCTGCCATGTGGGAGTCCAACATCCTTAACCACCATGCCATCTGCTGGTCCACCTGTCCAAGGAGTTTTTAAGTAAATTTTTAAAAATTCCACTTTCTGAGAAAAATAAATCACTGTGTCATCATTAGAGTTTTACATACCTTTTTTCTCATCATCATAAATAAGATGCTGAGCTGGTGAATAATTTCATTAGATATGCATTTTCCATTGACTCTTAGCTTTTCTGATTTCTTTTTTTTTGGAGAGATTTTTTTTGCCATAGGGCGCGTGTGCTCACCAGACAGACAGAGAGAGACAGAGAAATAGAAAGTGAGAAATCACCCCCCCCCAGGCGGATGGCCATGCCACAATCCCTTCTCCTCCATTCTCCTCTCAGGATTTTGGGCGCGCATGCACACGCACCCGGCGTGAGTTTAGCCACCGGGTCCAGGACTCGAACCGCAGTCAACTACGTAGGAGTCCAGCAACATAGCCATTACGCTAACTGCTGGTCCCACTTTTCTGATATCTAAAACTATTACTCTTTCTTCTTTCCACAAGTCATCTCTTCAACCATTTAGTTATGTTATACCAATTGATTAATATTGTTTTGTATATTATATTTATATTGATAATGTTCATATAAATTCTACTAAATTCTTAAAAAACAAACCCAGATATCCTGAATTATTTTCAGCTATAAATCAATGTCTTTATCATTTCAAGAAGAAATTTCTAAAGAAAAAAAAACATTATATATAGAAAGTTATGAGGTTTAATTTGCATATGATATTAAAAATAAAAGTAGGTGCTCACCTTAAATCTTCAGCCTTTCTTAATTCTCAAAATGTCTCTTTCTAAGCCAATTCTGGTTATTACACATTTACATATCTTTAATAAGTAGCGCAAAAAACAATCTTTTAAAATTCTCAAACTATAGGGACCAGAAGTTAACGTAATGGCTATGTCGCTGGACTCCCATGTAGTCGACCGCAGTTCGAGTTGTGGACCCAGTGGCTTAAACTCATGCCAGGTGCATGTACGTACGTGCCCAAGATCCTAAGAGGAGAATGGAGGAGAAGGGATTGCGGCGTGGCCATTCCCCCTGGGGGGTGATTTCTTGCTTTCTGTCTCTCTGTCTCTCTCTGGCATACTGGCAAGTGCACGCGCCCTATAGCAAAAACTTCTCCAAACAAAGAAAAAAATATATCAAATTATAATTCCCCAGTTCAATCATTTCCAACTGGGGTTCATTTTAGCTCCCAAGGTAACATGCAGAATGTCTGGAGACATTTTTGATTGTCACAGTTGGGGAACAGGAGGGAGCTAGTGGGTAGAGATTAGGAATACAGCCAAACATCCTCCACTACACAACAGAGACTCCACAACCAAGAACGGTCTCGTCAGGAAGGACAGCAGTGCTCCATTTGAGACGCTCTTTCCTTGTCATGGACCAGAGCATCTTCAGGTTATAATTTTTTCCTTGTCTATTGAACAAAGGGCTCAGTTGCAGAATCAGTACGTCAACTGCAAAGTACAACGTGCCAGTCATTGTATAGCATTATTATTCATTGTTTGTATTTTTTATTGAAAAATGTATTGGGGGGGCCAGCTGGTGACACAGTGGTTGCAGTGCTGGACTTCTACATGGCTGGCTGTGGTTCAAGGCCCAGACCTGGCACCTTGGTTTCTCACTTCCTCTCTCTCTCCCTCCCTTCCTATCTCTCTCTCTTTCTCTCTCTCTCTCTCTGATGCTCACATGTGCCCTATAGCAAAATTTTTAGAAATAATAATAATAAATAAATAAAATTAATATTTTTTAAAGAAAAATGTATGCAGGTTAGCCAGGTGGCATGGTGTTTAAGGAGGCTGGATCTCATATGGCCAGTTGAATCATTCAAGTTCTGGACCCAGTGGCTTGGAAAACACATTGGGCACATGTACATCTGTGCCCAAAATCCCAAAAGGAGAATAGAAACAGGATTATGGCATGGCTATCCTCCATGGGAGGATGATTTCTTACTTTCCTACTCTCTCTTTTTCTCTGTCTCTCTCTGGTGAGTGCACACACACCTTATAGCAAACTTAAAAAAAAAAAAAAGTATTAAAAGTGAAGAAAGAGGGGCTGGCAGGTGACAATGTGGTTGTGATGGCTGGACTCCTACATGGCTGACTACGGTTTGAGTCCCGGACCTGGCAGCTTGCTTTCTCATTTTCCTTCTCTCTCTCTGGTCAACTTCCAAAAAATAAAATAATGACAATGGATAAAATTAAATAAAATAACTCTTTAAAAAAAAGTGAAGAAAGAAGCAGACCTTATTATCTGTAAGAAACATTTTTTGTGTGTTTGGAGCAGCTCTGATACTGAGGTCTGTGTGTTCTACGTTAAGTAGCTTCCAAGTCCCCATGCCATTTAAATGGCATGTGAAATATGTCTGAATGTTATCCCTTTAAGCCAAGGAATCCAGTCAGAATACAATGTGATTGAAGAAAACACAGAAGATTTTTTCTTCCTTCAAGAAGAAGCTGAATGTCAGTATCCATTTTTGTCACTATAAATTCTTGCATTTCCAACAAGACCGAGGCAGACAGCTACTCCAGATTTCATTCCATTAGTATTAAGCACTTAGAATATGTTTTTCTGAAGGGAAAGTAAGAGGTAATTAATAGAAATAGTGACTAATGCAGACCAAGGTAAATGTCTTCAGAGTTTCCTTTGTATAAAGTTTTTTAAAAGCATCTTTTTTAGAGATTAGAGGGCTTGGCAGGTAAAGTGAATAGATAAAAATAGAATAATAATAAAACAGGGAGTAAGGAGCGCTAAGATGGCAGAGAGTAACCCTTGTAGGAAGGCAAATTGTTTGGATACCAGGACTATGACTTGCTTATATGGGTGAAGAAGTAGATTATGATGGACTTTTACTTCCGGTAAAAGTTTTCTTCTTTCTTTCTTTTGGTTCAACTTCTGACCATTTCTTTTTGTGAAAGTGAGAACGACTGTGAGGATATGGTGAGAGAAGAGTGTGGCGTCAGGAGAGGGTAGCAGTAGCTACCCAGGTGAGAAAAGAACATAGAGACCAGACAGGGTCTGCTCAGATAAAGAAGAAATTAAGAAGAGAACATCTCAGAGAGAAAGGCAGAAGGAGAGCATATCGTGTTGACGTCGACATGGCATTTACAACATGGCGCAAACTTCTCTTTATCCATGGTGCATCATGGAGGTCCGTGTTGGGAGTTCTGTAGTAATAGTCAGGTGATGGATGGTAGCTCTACTCCAAATCAGTCCTGTTGTTTGTTGGTCTGTGTAAGAGAGACCATGTGTGATTCAGAGTTGGAATAAGGGATCCACAGCTTGATAGATTCAAAAATGAATGAGAAAACGGGCAAAGAAATACATGGATATATAAAACCAAGCCAAAAAATGTACATACTGTTTTAACAGTTAGGAAGGATATGAATGTTAGGTGGAGTATTAGTGGGGCGAAAGAAAACAATAGAATATTATCATGGAAAGGTGTGTTCTTATTCACCCCACTCTGTGGTATATTCTAAACGCTCTGTCATCAGGAATTCCTTGAGTAAAAGAGTGGCATGGTGAGATCAAATAGAAGAGGAATAGAGCTGGAAGGAAGCTCTTTCCAATCCATAAAATAAAAAGACTCGCTATTACCAAAAAAGAAGTTGTTGTTTTTGCTACGTGTCATGAGATGTTGCCCAGTTGATGAAATGTTATTGTCATTTAACTAGAGATTTCTTTCTTTATCTATCTGAGTTTGGGATGATTGCTTTCTATCATTATCTGGGATGATCACTTTAATAAAATATTACTGTAAGAATAACATATGTAAATGTGTCAAGCATATTTTCCACAAAGTACAAATGGTGTGATTTTTCGTTCTACCAGATGTGTTTGTTGCGTGTAGAAAGAGCATTTGATCTGAGTGACAAAATAAACCGATCCATCCTTTCATTCCCGTTATTTGAGGAAAAGTGCCACCTCATCCCTTGGCCAACGCACCAGCTCCGTCTGGCAGTTGTGATGGGGATTACGCTCTGAACCAAATGTTTATCCTGCCTCATAAATTATTTCGTTTTCTAAAGTGGTCTACTCAGAATACTGGAAACTTGGTAGCTGGAAACTACTCAGTGTTCTCCGGGGTGAAGTAAAAGAAACACAATATCCCTTAGATCAATCGTCAAAGGCCGCCAAAGTGAAGTGTTGCCCAGACACTTCATTATTAAAAATGTATCCTGTATTCATCAGTTTTTCATCTCAAGAAATGATATAAATAATAAGCATCATTTCCCCCCCTAAAATTCCAGAGCATAAAAGAAGAGAGGTAAAACTATTTATTTTTGTCATTATTTTTCCGACGATGCTTTCTTTTTTAGCTGAACACTCATTTTTCATGGTTCCAGTGGCTTTAGCATTTTATGATCACTATGGGCCTTTTACTAATCTGATCAATATAACAGGCTTATCACTGCCATTGAAATATAAATATTCACAGACAGGCGTAATTTATTTATTTAAAAATGGGTATTCACTCCATTACTATCTCAATTGTGTTCTGGAAAATAATTCTATGCATCTTGAAAAACTGAATATAAATATAAAACCATTGAAGCTATTAAATATGAAAGGACTGGGTTGTCAGAAAAGTCATGACATATTTTTTGAATTTTCTATGCAAAAATGCATCATGAGTTTTCTGACAACCCAGTTTACGCTACCTAAGATTACACAGATAACGTTTCAGAATATGCTAATGTAACTCTCCAGCTACTACATCTGCTTTAGATTGATCAAAATTTTTAGGTTAGTTCTATTGGTTGTACATTATTTTTAATATGTCTTACAGATTAAGAATGGCAAGGTACATTTTACGTCAGACGCAGGAATCGCTGGGAAAGTGGAAAGAAATATTCCGGAAGTGTATGTTGCAGATGGCCACTGGCATACTTTCCTGATTGGGAAAAACAGAACAGCCACGGTGTTGTCCATTGACAGGATATTTAACAGAGATATAATCCACCCTACTCAGGATTTTGGTGGCCTTGACGTGCTTACTATTTCTCTTGGAGGAATTCCACCCAATCAAGCTCATCGTGATACTCAAACAGGTAAATGTTTATGCGAGAAGTGTCATGAAGGAAAGAGATCGTTGTTCCTCAAAAAGTAGTTGGTTTTTGGTCCAGCCTTCATGGTGCCATTGGGTGATGCACAAAACCGTGGAGCTGGAGGCCACATGCTGACTGTGGTTTGAATCCCTGTTCCGGTCAGGTTGATATACTGTGGACAGTAGCACTTGTACCAGGATCCTGGTGAGCCAGAGACTGCAGAAACGGGATTATGAGACCATGTGGAGTGCTTCTCTCTCTCTCTCTCTCTGCCTCTTTCTCTCTCACTTTCACAATGTATCATGAAATTTAAAAAAAAGTTTAAAAAAGTAATTTTTTTTTTTTGTAGTGAGGGTCGTTGATGTCAACTTAGGAATCCAATAATATAGTACAATTTTATTACAGTAAAAAAATTTTTTGAGAGGTTTTTGCTATAGCACACATGCTATGGATGAGTTGGATCTCAGGGATAGACTTGAGCTGGAAATATACATTTAGGTGTTGTCAATGTTAAAACAATCATTGAAGGCCAGCAGGTTGCTTGGTAGTTAAGGCTCTGAACTTGTACATGGCTGACTGCAGTTTGAGTCCTGAACCTGCAACTTGCTCTCTCACTCCTTCTGCCTCTGTCTCTCTCTGGACAAATTAAAATAATAATAACAACAACAAATTAAGTTTTTAAAATAGAAAGAAAGAAAAGGTCATTAAAGTACTGGGCCTGGGTGTGATCTCCGACATGAGAGGGTAGAGTGAAAAGAAAGCCCTGGGCTTTACCTTGAGTAACTCCAAGAGTTAATGGTTCTTTAGACAAGAATGAGCCAGAAAGGGAGAGTGAGTACTAGGGAGAAATCCCCGAGTGTAGGAATAAAAGAGAAGCTGTCACAGAAGCTCATGCACAGTGTATGTATCCAGGATGGAAATGTCACTAGGTGGAATGATACACCAAATAAGAGGAAAACCGAAAAATGCGTGAGAGTAATGGGGTTAAGACATGAAAATTTAAGTCTAAGTCCTAAGTCCTTCTTATATATTTTGCAGATTTCAAAATACAGATGAAAACTCATTTGGATGATGTTCAAGCCAATGTAAACTGTGCTCTTTTTCAGTGACAAAGTCAAGTCTTGGGCCCTGACACAGGAGCATAGGCAGTATTGTTGCACCAAAGTCTAACAAAGTGTTTATCAAAGCTTTTTGCTGTTCTTCTGCCTTTTTTTTTTTTTTAATATCGCTTCCCTAAGGACTCATTTAAGATAATTTTTCTAACTCTTACCATCTCCATGTTCTGAAATGTGAATGCCACCATTATTCTTTTTATCTGCCCTTTGGAGAGCCACAAACCAATATAATAGCTGAGATCGGGAACTAGCAGTTAGCGTAATGGCTATGTCACTGGGCTCCCACGTAGTCAACCGCAGTTCGCGTCCCAGACCCAGTGGCTTAAAACTCACGCCGGGCGCGTGTGCGTTGTGCCCAAGATCCTGAGAGGAGAATGGAGGAGAAGGGATTGTGGCGTGACCATCCCCCCTGGGGGTGATTTCTCGCTTTCTGTCTCTATGTCTCTCTCTGTCTGTCTGGCGAGTGCACGTGCCCTATAGCAAAAACCTCAAAAAAAAAAAAAACCAAAAAACAATATAATAGCTGAGATTTCTCTCTTGTTCCTCTGAATCCTATGTTTGACTCTGAGAGCAATGTCTCCATCCAGGGGAATGTATGATCTAGTAGTTGAAGGTCCTGGGCTATTTTTTTGCTCTTTATAAGCTTTTGAAAATCCATGTAATTTCTACATAATGCAATTTTTGGTGTATGTACTATGAAAATAGTAAAATGAATGAATGAGATTTAATTAATTAAATGAAAAGAAGGAGACTGACCTGTCCAAGTCGCTCATAAGTCTTGAGAAAGTGTGGGATGTGGGGCCGGATGGTGGCACAGCGATAAATGTGCTGCCCTCTGAGATCGACCACGTGGGGACATTCCAGTTCTGCATCCAGAGACCTCCTTGAGTGCATCGGACACGCCTGTGCCCATGATCCAGGGCTGGCTGGGGCTGGGTGTGGACGGCAGCATCGACCCCCTGCTGGGGGTTCTGTCTCTCTGTCTCTTCCCCCCTTTCTCTCTCTGTCTCTCTCAGTCATGAAAGAAATAGAACGAATTTTTTTTTTAATTAAGAAAAAAAGGAAATTAGAAAGTGTGTGATCTGAGCAACCTTCTCTGTGCACTTGTGGTAATCACACGCATCTTGCACGGTTATGTTAACGATGCCCAGAGTTATTGCCTTTGAACTGGCTGTTGGCTCTGAGATGTGTTTTCTGTACTCTTTTTATTTGGAGAGAGAGTTTTGCTATAGGGCACACATGTGCTCACCGGAGAGACAAAGACAGAAAGTGAGAAATCACTGTCTCGGGGGATAGCCACGCCACAATCCCTTCTTCTCCATTCTCCCCTTGGGATCTTGGGCATGCACACACGTGCATCTGGTGTTAGTTTCAAGCTGCCGGGACCGGGACTCTAACTTGGTCTGCAATAAGGGAATCCAGCAGCTTAATCACCACACAGCCTACAGGCCATTTTCAGTGTTACGAGGTGACCAGAAGGCTTCTCTTTACCAGATCTGAGCGATGTGATGTGTCCAGCCTTTGACCTTCTCTGACATGCTGCATTTCCTTCTGCAGGGTTCGACGGCTGCATTGCTTCCATGCTGTATGGTGGAGAGAGCCTGCCTTTCAGCGGGAAGCACAGCCTGGCCTCCATCTCGAAAACAGATCCGTCAGTGAAGATCGGCTGTCGGGGCCCGAACATCTGTGCCAGCAACCCGTGCTGGGGTGACTTGCTGTGCATTAACCAGTGGTATGCCTACAAGTGCGTTCCTCCCGGAGACTGTGCCTCCCACCCATGCCAGAACGGGGGCAGCTGCGAGCCAGGTCTGCACTCTGGCTTCACCTGCAGCTGTCCGGAGTCGCACACGGGGAGGACCTGTGAGACCGTGGTGGCCTGTCTTGGCATCCTCTGTCCTCAGGGGAAGGTGTGCAAAGCTGGAAGTCCTGGGAGCCATGTCTGCGTTCTGAGTCAGGGCCCTGAAGAGCTCTCGCTGCCCCTGTGGGCAGTGCCCGCCATTGTGGGCAGCTGTGCCACCGTCCTGGCCCTCCTGGTCTTGAGCCTGATTCTGTGTAATCAGTGCAGGGGGAAGAAGGGCAAAAACCCCAAAGAGGAGAAGAAACCGAAGGAGAAGAAGAAAAAGGGAAGTGAGAACGTCGCCTTCGACGATCCAGACAACATCCCCCCCTATGGGGATGACATGACGGTGAGGAAGCAGCCCGAAGGGAACCCCAAGCCAGATATCATTGAAAGGGAAAACCCCTACCTCATCTACGATGAGACGGACATCCCTCACAACTCCGAGACTGTCCCCAGCGCGCCGCTGGCTTCGCCGGAGCAGGAGATAGAGCACTACGACATCGACAACGCCAGCAGCATAGCGCCGTCCGATGCCGACATCATCCAGCACTACAAACAGTTCCGCAGCCACACCCCCAAGTTCTCCATCCAGAGGCACAGCCCCCTGGGCTTCGCGAGGCAGTCCCCCATGCCCTTGGGAGCAAGCAGTTTGACTTACCAGTCTTCATATGGCCAAGGGCTAAGAACCAGCTCTCTAAGCCACTCGGCCTGCCCCACTCCCAACCCCCTGTCTCGACACAGCCCGGCCCCCTTCTCCAAATCTTCCACTTTCTACAGGAACAGCCCAGCCCGGGAGCTGCATCTTCCCATAAGGGATGGAAACACCTTGGAAATGCATGGTGACCCCTGCCAGCCTGGCATTTTCAACTACGCCACCAGGCTGGGAAGGAGAAGCAAGAGCCCTCAGGCCATGGTGTCACATGGGTCTAGACCCGGGAGTCGCCTCAAGCAGCCCATAGGGCAGATTCCTCTGGAATCTTCTCCTCCAGTTGGGCTGTCAATTGAAGAGGTGGAGAGGCTGAACACCCCTCGCCCTCGAAACCCAAGTATCTGCAGTGCAGACCATGGGAGGTCGTCCTCAGAGGAGGACTGTAGGAGACCACTGTCTAGAACCAGGAACCCTGCGGATGGCATTCCGGCTCCAGAATCTTCTTCCGATAGTGACTCCCATGAGTCCTTCACTTGCTCAGAAATGGAATATGACAGGGAAAAGCCAATGGCTTACACTTCCAGGATGCCCAAGTTATCACAAGTCAATGAGTCTGATGCAGACGACGAAGATAATTATGGAGCCAGACTGAAGCCTAGAAGGTACCACGGCCGCAGGGCTGAGGGGGGACCTGCGGGCACCCCGGCAGCAGCGCCAGGGGTTGCTGACAGTACACTCCCCCTCAAGCTTGGGCAGCAAGCAGGGAATTTCAACTGGGACAACCTTTTGAACTGGGGTCCTGGCTTTGGCCATTATGTAGATGTTTTTAAAGATTTGGCATCTCTCCCAGAGAAAACAGCAGCATCAAATGAAGAAGGCAAGGGGGGGACAGCCAAGCCAGCCCCCAAAGATGGGGAAGCAGAACAGTACGTGTGAAGTGTAAGTTCTGGCCTTACACAAACCAAGACCGCTCCGACGATGGTGAGGTTGCAGATGAGGTGGGGGAGTCACATTTGAAAACTAGGCCAGTATGGACTGGTGGTTGAGGGAAACTACAAATAATAACCACGATGCTGCTGACACAGACTCAAAACAAGTCTTTAATTTAAGTCTGCTTGGTTGAGTTATTTTCCTGCATGCATTGTATTTGGTAACTAGTAACATGGCATGCAGCATTTGGGAAGGTTTTCTTATTTACTAGTGTTTGATTTGTGATTTTTGAAATGAATACCATTCCCGTTGCAGAAATGAACTTGTGTGCTTTCTTTCACAGTTGGATATGCATACTGTTTCCATTGTGTTATTATAACTGTGTTTTCCATTGCAAGATCCTTGAGGTTTAACAGATCCTTTTAAAGTGTAGAGAAGAACTCTCCCCTCCTTGAATGAAAGGCAAAGAATGAACACTTTTCAGAATGCTAGATTCCACAGTTCCTTGTTACTCAGAAATGTCTGGGTGTTTGTTTCAGTTTTACATGACAGTGGGTACTAGAATGAAGTCATTTTGTTCAGCACTTTAAAGCTTGCTTATAAAACCGCGTTAAAACTTCTGAATCTTTTGTGAACGATGATGGTTTCCTACCTTTTCGTAAGGCTTCCATTAGGGAGAAAATGATGACATGTTGTTCCCTGAACACTGCCACCTTTCTACTGCAGAAGCATGTTCTCAGCCACACATTTCTCAGAGACACTTCTAGAAGTTATTTATTGAAAAAAAAAAAAAAGTTCTATGCTTTGACCAGTGTGAAGAATCCACCTAAGGAAAAGCCTTCTGGGACTTATTTTTCAACCATTCAACATTTATCCCAAGTACCCAATTTTTATAATTTATATAAAGTCAAATTTCAACACTCCTTACTTTGTGTCATTTTGTAGATCATCTTTCTTAATACTGTGTAAAAACTTTTTCTTTTCTTTTCCTTTTTTTTTTTTTTTACACCTAAGCTGTGTTTTTGATACTGATATTTTCCTATGCTGAATGGTTTTCTTACTTTCAGGGAAGGTAAGAAAATACTTTTTTTACATTTGTTACTTATGTAACGTTCATATTTTTCACATTTTGATATTTGTAACATACTGTATGCTTTCTACTTGTAAATGCCAACAATAGAATTAAATATTTATTTAAAATACTTTGGATTCATGGCGTAATACTAAATTTCCATCCTTCTGTCCTCTTTGTATACCCAACTGAGAATCTTCTGAGTGTGCCCAGGTGAATTATATATGGGCAACGTCATTTCCTCTTCCAAGACATGATTTTGGGTAATTGCCAGAAAATAATGTATATATTTAATGTTTTTGACATAGGGAGGGCATGTGCATTTGCCAGAGACAGAGAGAGAAACAGAGACAGAGAGAGGGATAGTAAGAAATCACCCCCCCACCCCGCCCTGACCAGGATGGGGATGGTCATGCCACAATCCCTTTACCTCCATTCTCTTCTCAGAATTTTGAGCATGCACACGTGTCCGTTGTAGGACTCGAACTACCGTCGGCCATGTGGGAGTCCAGCACATTAACCAATACGCCACCTGCTGACTCCAGTAGAAAATATATTTTAAGGTCTTTTAGTGCATTCCTACCTGTCAGAGTTCTCAGACTTCCTGGCGCATAATGAGTCTAGACTAGGCTGGTCTTAGGGGATGGACTTGGTTATGAACCTGATTAAGCCATCCGCCAATGAATACTTATAACTTCCCAGAAGAGTGTGTTCACGGAAGGCCAGCTTTGGATTATAGTTATAGAAGCAGCGATGAATTAAAGCTTATTATGGCAAAATGGCTGGGTCTGATTTTCTCCAAGGACCCACGCTTTGCAAGTGCAGTGGTGAGCAGAAAGAACAAAGCTCTGCTAAGCTTGCCTGTCTTTTAATTTATTGATCACTCAGCTGCCTAAAGGCTAAATAAATTTTACATGCTATCTTCACTGAAGCCAACCCCTATTTTCAAATAGTCACCTAAGAGTGAAACAGCTCACAAGGAGAGAATGGTTCAGAACACGAATAACTTGTGTACACATAGTAACACTTCGATAATAGGACTTCTAAAACTTACCTCACAATCAGGCCATTTTATAATTAAATATTTGCCCCAAACCTAAAAACTTAATATGTATTGAGATTTTTTTTTAATTAGTCTATATTTTTTCTATGAATTACAGAGAGAGAGGACAGCACCTCTGGTGGGTCCTGATACTGTGGTCCACCCCAGCCCTGGGTGATGGACAAGCACGCACTCCGCAGACTCAAGGAGATCTCTGAACGTGAACCAGGAACCTTCCCCTGTGGGATTCTTCCGCAGTGTTGCATTTTACCACCGAACCCCAGTCTAGCCCTAGAGAATTTTCTTTTTGCACACTGTACCATATCAAATAGGAATTTTAACAATATATAAACATTTTTGTATCTTTAAGTTAATACCAACAGATTAAGATAAATGCCAGAATTATTTTATCAATTTTTAAATGTTCTGATTATTATTTTCTGTTTCAGTATAGGAAGTGAAATGTAGGTTTAGTTTAAATCATGAAATTGAATATGGTTTAGAGATGGAGTGTAAGCCAGTTCTATTTCTAATCAGTCGTGGTGTTGGTAAGTGTTTTGTCAACAAGTAATTGGGGAGTTGTATTTTAGGCTTTTTAGGCTTTTCTTTTTTTTGGAGAGGTTTTTGCTATAGGGCATGTGCACTCACCAGACAGACAGAGAGACAGAAGGCGAGAAATCACCTCCCGGGGGGATGGCCATGCCGCAGTCCCTTCTTCGTTCTCCTCTTGGGATCTGGGGCATGCACGCACACACACCCGGCATGAGTTTTTAAGCCACCGGGTCCAGGACACAAACTGTGGTTGACTACATGGGAATCCAGCGACATAGTCATTACGCTAACTGCTGGTCCCGTATTTTAGGCTTTTCTGATGCTCAGATTCCTAGATTGATTTTAATCTATCTTAATACATTAATATTCTCTTTTTGTTACCTGTGATGAGCCTACATATTTCAATATTATGCATTTATGTTCCAAATACGGAAACATGTTGATTACTTTGTGTAACTCAAAACAGAACACACATTTTTCTTGAGAAATTGAAGCATGTCAGTGTCCTCAAGGATAGAAACTGTTTAATTTAGAACAGATCTAAAAGTAAAATAATAAGTGTAATTATAGCTAAAACTTAAGGCAAAAGAAACTTGAAGGCAAGATTCTGTATTTCTATTCTCCAAGAAATCTTTGTTAGATATATTATAGAATTACTGTTCTCCACTCATTGATCCCAGTTGAGGAAAAGATAGGCTTCTTACAGGAATATTTCTAGTTACTTTCTTCCAGGGGCCAATGGATGGTGTTAAGGTACTAGACTCTCACATGACCCACTGCAGTTCTCCTGTATCTGGTGGCTTGAAACTCACACTGGGCATGTGTGCATGTGTACCCACAGTCCTGAGAGGAGAATGGAGAAGACGGGATTATGGCATGCCATCCTTCCTGCGAGGTGGATTTCTCGCTTTCTGTCTCTCTTTGTCTCTCCAGTGAGCCCACATGCCCTATAGCAAAAAAATATCTTCCAATGAAGCAAGAACAATATAGCAAAACAAACCAGAAATATATGAAATAAAGATCTCACTTAAAATAGAACTTAATACATAACTTCTTGAAGTATTACAATAACAGCAAATACAATGTGGGAGGTGGGAGGGTTCTAGGCAAATTGACAGGGTAACAGTCCCTACAAATGAATGGTTATTAGTGACCTGCATGTTTACATATAAATTCATGTTCCTAGAATTTTAACCCAGCTCCTGTTGGAGTTTATTGCATGACCCAGTAAACAGACACTATTTGGGGCTCCTCCTGTATCTATTTTGTAGAGAAAACATTACTTACTTTTTTCAGGTGCACACTGCAAAAGGCTCTAGGCATGCTGTTAGTCAGGAAAAACCTGTGATGCTCAGTCACAAGATCCGTAGGCTCAGAGTGGCAGCAGGACACGGGACTCTGCTTAGTTCTTAAGGAGCACATCGCGGTTCCTTTCAAGGTTGTTTCTGGAGTTTTCCAAATAAGCTGATTTTGTTGATAGCCTAAGATAGATTAAAATAATTCTAAGCAACTGAGCATTAAAAGGGCCTAAAGCACAACTCTCCAGTTACTTGTTAACAAAAAGCTTACCAACACCACGGCTGATGAGAAATGGAACTGGCTTACACTAAGGAGAGCTGTGTCCTTTACAGATATTTTATTTATAAGAAAAAATAAAATATATCCCCAAGTGACTTTATTACTTTCAGATATTCCATCTAAGAATGAAGCTTTGTTGTCACATAAATGCATTTTCATCTAACTCAAATTTAACATTATAGTAAAATGAAATTGTGAAAAGTGAGAATTTAAAATTTTTGAATCAATAATTCAGCAATGCAATTTTTCTTTTCCCATTTTATTTTATGTCATAGATTCCATTTTTAAGGGACTAACATTTCAAGATGACTGAATTTACCTTCCCTTAGGAAATATAAACCTAGAAATAAAATGCATTTTAGCACATTAGTAGCCTTTCAGTGTGAAGCAAAATAGAAAAATCTATGATTAATCTGGTAGATGTGCCTTATAGATATTTTGAATGAAATACCACATTAATATTTATCTGGTTACTCCTACTGAGCAAACGAGTAGTTTTAAGGCTATATTAGTCAAAATTTATAGGTCAGTGTTATACATAGGTACCTATTTTAATTTATTGCCATTGAAGAAAAGGGCAGTAGGTTCTAAATAAGCTTGATGCATACAATTTTGCTGCATTTAAGTATCAATGACTTAATTTAACCTAAGTGCACCTCTTTGATAATCATTGCAAACATACATATTCTGTACTGAAGACCACGAAGTACATGATCTCCTTTAACAGGGAAACACATTGAAATAACAAAAGAGTTCAGTGTCCTGGGTTAAATCTAATCATAAACAATAATTAATGCCTATTACGTGCCATTCTTCTAGATGATGGGAATGAAATAGTGAAAAAAGCAGAACACCTGTCTCCATGAAACTTACATTCACTTAAAGGAGATGATCAACAACTACAGTAATAATTACTGAGCAGAGGAGAAGGGATTGCCGTGTGGCCATGCCCCTGGGGGTGATCTCTCACTTTCTCTGTCTCTCATTTTCTCTCTCCAGTGAGCTCACACACACCCTATGGCAAAAATAAATCAATAAATGAATAAATTTAGAACAGGTTCCGTATCAGAATTATCACTGAAGCAAATCTTCAGATGCAATGTTAACCCGGAGAATGTGGGTGTATACTCCTTCTGCCCTGATGTGTGAGATCCAGAAAACTGAGATTCGGATGATTGAAAAGAATGTACTAACATTGATATCACTCTAAGCAAGCCAAACCTGGAGAAATAGACGAAGCATCTTAGGATAATATATCAAAGGTGTCTCCTTGTTGCTAAGGAATTTAAATCCAAAGTGTGAGGGTTTTTTGTCTGTTTGTTTGTTTGTTTTTGCAAGGTTTTTGCTATTGGGCATGGCATATGTGCTCACCAGAGAGACAGAGACAGGAAACGAGAAATCATTCCCTGGGGGGGGGGGGGTGGCCATGCTGCAATCCCTTCTCCTCCATTCTCCTCTTGGGATTTTGGGCATGCATGCACACATACCCGGCATGAGTTTTAAGCCACCGGGTCTGGAACTCCAACCATGGTTGACTACAGGAGTCCAGCAACATAACCATTACACCATCTGCTGGCCCCCAAAGTATGAGATATCTACTGACAAGGCAGCTATGGAATTTTTTATTTTAAAATTAACTTCTTTTTTTTTTAACATGTGGATCATTTGGGTTTTTAAAAATCAATTTATTTATTTAATTTTATTATTATTTTTTAATTTGACCAGAGAGAGACCGGGAGAGAGAGATACGGAAAGTGAGAAAACAAGCTGCTAGGTCCAGCACTCCAACTGCAGTTGACCATGTGGGAGTCCAATACCCTTAACTGCCATGCCACCTGCTGGTCCACAAGTTGATCATTTGTAACACAAATTTTCCAAATGGAATGAGTTAGATTTATAGAGTGATGGCAAATCAGATATCTTTG